TTTCCTTTTGGAATCTTGTTGAATGAATTTAGGTGGTGACTAAATCTACAATTCACACTTATTTACTTGTTTGTGATTTTGTTCTTTTGTTAAGCCCGTGAAGCAGCCGAAGAAGTGGATGAAATCGGAAGTGCAGAGTCCTTGCAATATGATTTCAGCACCATTAGAGCTGCAACAGATGACTTTTCTGATGCAAATAAGCTTGGACAAGGTGGATTTGGTGCAGTTTATAAGGTAAGACAAAAATGATCATTGGTATTTAAAAAAAATGAAAAGTATTGCATCAATGATAAGTTCAATTAGCATATGCATAATTCAATCTGATATCTTCTCAGGGCACACTTTCCGGTGGAGAATCAATAGCAGTGAAAAGGCTGTCTACAGATTCTGGACAAGGAGATCTAGAATTCAAAAACGAGGTTCGGTTAGTGGCCAAGCTTCAGCACAGGAATTTGGTTAGGCTCCAAGGTTTCTGCCTGGACGGAAATGAAAGGCTTCTCATTTATGAGTTTGTGCCTAATGCAAGTCTGGATCAATTCTTATTTGGTATGGTATATCATGTATTATTGGAAGCATAAACTAACACTTTAACATCCTTGATTTATGGTTTCACTAACTCGGATGTGTGTATATATGGTGATGCAGATCCAGTGAAGCGTGCATATTTGGACTGGGAAAGAAGATACAAAATCATTGGAGGCATTGCTCGTGGACTTCTTTACCTTCATGAGGATTCTCGACTCCGAATTATTCATCGTGATCTCAAAGCTAGCAACATATTATTAGATGCAGAGATGAATCCTAAAATTTCAGATTTTGGCATGGCAAGGTTGTGTGCACTTGATCAAACTCAAGGTGCTACCAGTAGAATTGTGGGAACATAGTAAGTACTAGAATGATCACTTCTGTTAAACTGCCCATCATTAGATAAATCAAATGATTCAAAGATTTGATAAGTCATGTGTATGCTAATTTTTCTGATAATGACTTGTAGTGGATACATGGCACCGGAATATGCAATGCATGGTCAATTTTCTGTCAAGTCGGATGTTTTTAGTTTTGGTGTACTACTTTTGGAGATTCTGTGTGGTCAAAAAAATACTGCTTTTCGTGTTGGGGAGAATGTAGAAGATCTTCTAAGCTATGTAAGTATTAATATCCTTTGTCCCTAAATATGAGATTGTAACTCAATGAAATTTATTCAAAGCAGTTCAAGAATGTACTCTCTGATAATTTGCATGAATTAAATCCTGCAGGCCTGGAGAAATTGGAAGGATGGGACAGCATTGAATCTTGTAGATCCTATTTTGAGGGAAGCTTCAAGAACGGAAGTGATGAGATGCATCCACATTGGTCTGCTTTGTGTCCAAGAAAATGCAGCCCAGAGACCAAACATGGCTTCAGTTGTTCTGATGCTTACTAGCTACTCTGTCACTCTCCCACTACCCTCAGAACCTGCATTTTTCATGCACAGCAACACTCAATCAGATATGTTGTGGCTAAATTCAGGGGCAACAGAATCCACTCAATCCAGAAATGAAGCTGCCGCAGTCTCAGAAAATGAGGTTTCAATAACTGAGCCCCATCCAAGATAGCAAGCAGGTCACATTTGTAAGCATTTCTGTGTCAAAATTCAGTATTTGTTACTATTTCCTCTCTCTGCAGTTTGACCTGATTACCCTTGGACCACCCTTTTCATGTGCTAAATATTCTGTGGTTAATCAAATCTCTAAGTTACAAATCTCTTCTCTTCTTTATTTTTTACGTTAGTAAGTGTTTGGATTGTAAATTAAGTCAACAATTAGGTTGTTTATTGGACTAATCAATATAAAATATCAGGCCACGTTCTCTCCCACCAAGACTTTGCCAGCTCGCACGAATAGTCTCAACGTATTTTAAGTTGCGCACCAGCTTGTGCTTAGCTAGATCAACCAAACAAAAAAATAAAAAAAACTTGAAGCCTTCTTTGTTTGACCGGCTATATGATTGATTTTGACACGGCGCTATAAGCCAGAAGGAAATAAACAGAAACTTCTTTGTTCTTTTCTTATTCATGCACAAGGAAATAAACTTGAAGTTTCATGCGTAGCTTTTCCTCTTCCACCACTCCCATCTCAATCAACAGTCCTTTTCTTTTTGACTTTTTCATTATGAATCTTCTTTTGATCTTCCTAAGGAAGAAATTTATGATCAACCCAAAATTACATTTTCAACATCTTCCAAATCAGTGTCGAGACCTTAAAATAGTATACCAGTCTGCTGCTGCTTGGACCCATTTCGGACGGAGCTAGCCATGCTCAATCAGTCCTTGTGTGTGCAATTACAAATTTAGATTCTTGAACGTTTGCAATTACATCGATTAAAAACCAATTATTATCGAAAAAGAATGGTTTATGGACCAAAAGGTCTACACCCAGATGGATTTGTTTAAACTTAAAACAAACATTAACTTTGTTTTTATGGCTTGACAATCTGACATTCGGGTTATGACTGCGGTCACTTTCATTGATAGCCCAAAATTTTCCTTCCAATCAGAATCCGCCATCTCTTCTTGATCTACATATAATCTAATCAAATAGGGTGATTTAATCTGGATGAATAATGGGCAAACTCGTGCCTAAGGATGCCACTCGGTTCTGCCTACGTCAATTCCCCAGAGCATGTGCAAGACTTTGAAATAGAAACCGCGTTCTGGCCCCCTGGGAAGAAATTAAGAAAGACAAGTTGGTAGGTCCATGGCGGCTTGCAATCAACCTCAACCACTTCCATCTTTATCAACCGTTCCAATGGCTTTAAAATGAATTTATGGTACAATTGTTCAAAACTACACAATTATTATATAATTTTACGTAAATCCACGGGTAGATAAACATGAGAGAGATTTGACAGAGAAATAAAAATCAATTTTTATTTCTTATTTTTATAAAAAATATATAAAGTTTAGCTTATTTTGGGGGCAAGATTGCTTGAGAAAAGCATGTATCTGCGTATAAAGCTTCATAGATAAAAATTTTCAGAGGGGAGAGAGACGCAAAGGCGATGGGATTTTCAAGACTGCTTGTCCTTTTTTATTCGGTTCTCCTATTCCTTGCTACTCCCAGCCTTGGGGCCGATC